CCCCACCCTCTACACACCCTACTAAGTAAGTGCATGGCACGCTGAAGCTGGCCACGACCTCCCCGACGTGTCCTCCCACAACGCTCAGGCCTCCCGAGAACCGCTAGACCGCAACGGAGCCGGGGGAAAGGGGCAGCCCCGCGAGATGCTACCACCCGCAAACGGCAGCCTAAGGAAACGACGTTCTCGCTCGCCGCCTTCCCCCGAGCCCTAGGGATGCCCTGGACCCCCGCAGACCTATGGCAAATGTCGCTGCCGCCTAGACCCGGCCTGCCGTCCCCAAACGCGTCTGGTCTGACCCTCTCTCGCCTTGAGCGACGCTACCGCACGGCATGATGCCCTGGCACGTGCCTCTGGGCCGCCTCCGCGGGCCATCTACTGCCCGCAACGCCCTCGCCCCTAAAAAACACACGGTGCCTACAACTCCCAACCCTGACAGGCCGCCCGGCTGCCCTGAGTCCCGCACGTGCCCTACGAATGGCCCTGGAACGGCTCCACAATGTCAGCATCCGCCCCTGCCCTGACTGTCTAAGTGGCAACACACGATTCCCCACTAAAGGACCCCTGTGATGCTCGGAACCCCTCTTGAGCGCTCTGTCCCCTGCTCTGCACAGACAGAAGCCCCACATGACAACCCCCCCAAAAAAGGCACCTCAGTGGGACTCCCACACCTGAAAGCCAAAGCTCTGCGCTGCAGCCCCTCTTGATGCCCTCCAACACACCCCACACGCCCCCATCGCCTATAGGGACCCTTGTGGCACGGCACGGGCCAGCGTAGGCCTGCACCAACTGCCGCTATGCTCGCTCCCCTATTACTGAGTGCCTCGGACCGCCTTTTGCCCCGAGGATGGGGCGGGAGCCCGGGCTTGACACCAGGTCCTCCCCACAGGCAACCCCTAAAAACCCCAGGGACCTCTCTGGGGACCCCCCTGGCTCCTAGCTAGCCCCCAGAACCCCCACAGATAAACTGACACCCCTATCCCCCTGACTCCTCCTTGTCTATCCCATGCCTCCTAACACACGTGGTGCACACGCCATCTCCGCGCACCCTCCGACATCAGAGCCCTGTCCTACGCACCCAGCCCTGTGATGCCAGCGCTCGCCTCTAGCCCCAACCACCCTCCTCC